AAACTTAGTGTTTAATTTTTTATCCTTAGATATAAACACAAAAAATTTATGATGTTTCAACTTCAAAATTACTTGCAAATTTTGGCGATTTTGACATATTTCGTAAAAATKTTAACTATTAACGCTTATAAAAAAAATTGTGACTAACAACAGTCGCCTCTTACGACAAGCAGGGAGTACTGATGCGGAATTCTGTRTCGCCCCCACAACAGTGCCGACTGCTCGTCCCTGACGTATGAGTGCGTCCCGGGTCAGGACGCACTCGAGGGTGTCTCACCTCTTGTGCCACTTACACCTTACGCACTCATTCAAGACACCCCGAGTGCTAGGCCATCCGTCAATTGACGGTGGCTGCGTCCTGAACCATGCGGTCTTGCGTCCTGCATTTGTACTATTCAGCGGTTTTTCATTATTTTCTATCTGTCAGAGCGATCAGCGAGAGCCTCTCTGGCGAACGTGRCAAGGGCTTGATATGTTTTTTTAGTTTTAAGGAACGCTCCATCTTCAGGCGGCCATGCCTAACCTTCGTCTCTAAGTGTTCTTTTGAGCTTGATCCGAGCACTCTTCGTCCTTGGGCAAAATCTGATTACGTGGTGGACCGTCTCCGGTTTCCGGTCGCACTGCAAATCGGATCWGTAACAAGGTTGAAACTGTGTAGTTTCGCCCTGAAGTCGCCATGCCAGGTAAGGAACTGTGTTGTAAAGTGATCCAGTTGCATCGGTAGGCTACACCTTAGCCGAACCGATGGGATCATATTCTTTGTCCAATTACCTTTGGACAGAGTATCATAACGATTCTGCYACTCACTGTAGAGCTCACTATCGCTCTCTGCCATGAATTCCTTTGTGATTGTTTGCCTAKAAAGGGCCCTCTTAAGTGCTTGGAGCCTCACTTCTAGGTCTAGAGGCATAGTCCCAGCTATCACTGGCAGACAGTTGGTTGAGACCGTATTATACGCCCCTGTCATGGSCAGTAAAGGAGCTCTTTGAGCGCTAAGCATCTTTTTCTGGCTCTTTTTTAGCTTTGTCCCCTGAGCCCATATCTCAGCCGCATAGGTGACTCGGGGCAGGAACACCCCTCTGTATATGGTACGAGCTGCGCACCGTCCCATGCCCCAGTTGGCGGAATACAATTTTCTTAATCGCCCATGCATGTCCTTAGACTTGGCGCATACAGCGACGACATGGTCCCAATAGCTACGCCAGGGATCTAGAAGGACACCGAGGTATTTGGCGGTAGCCGTAGAGATTATTTTGGGTGCATTCGCACTCGTGCCGAAGCCAACGCTGTAGCCCGCTTTGAGACCACATTTTAACGATAGGAGCTGACTCTTACTGGCCGAGAACTCTAAATCATGCTTAACGGCCCAATCTTTTAGTACGTCCAAAGACTTTTCGATAAGTGCGAACGCCGTATTTGGTCTGGCGGCGCCGACCATGAGTAATATGTCAGGAAGGTATTCGTAAATCGTGGTCATGGCTACCTTCCATAAGGTAGGACCAAGCTGGRACCCCTGGGGGGCATCCTCGTTCAAGTCTACGTCGATAGTGGACAMCTTCTACCGTGTGGTCAGCCCATCTGTTATGTAGGTACGAGCACACTATTCTGGTAGTGCCTAGAGTAGCGCCAAGTTTGTTTATTTGTGCAATCAGAGGGGACCACTTGACGTTGTCAAATGCGCCAGTAATGTCTAGGAATGTGCCAAAGATATGCCTAGACTTGGACCTATCGACGCGGTCGTATACKCTCTCTATAGCACTGATGGTTGATTTACCGGTGGTGAACCCATGTTGCTCCTTGTAAGAGTCCAGGCTAGTCTCTTTGCCTATGTTCTTTATTATCAGCGTTTCAAGCGCTTTGCCTAGTACCGGTAATAGGCTAATAAGTCGAAACGATTTAACACTGTCTGTCGACGCCAAGATGTAATATAATTTGGTAGGTACCTATGTAAAGAGTACACGAATATCTCGCTGCCGACCAACACACGCAAACAGTCACCATATAATTGTAGTTTATTTTCGTAGTGTATATTTTTGTATTAATTATGTGATTGTGAATTATTATATAATATGTAGATTAAGTAAACGCGTTATCGGTCGCCGCCGGTTCGCCTGTGCCGACTTAATTAGCACGGCCGCC